TTTTTGTTTTTTTGGGTTTTTTTTTGAGACGGAATCTCGCTTTTGCCCAGGCTGGAGTGCAGTGGCGCAATCTCAGCTCATCACAACCTCTGCCTCCCAGTTCAAGTGATTCTCCTGCCTTAGCCTCCTGAGTAGCTGGGACTACAGGCATGAGCCACCACGCCCGGCTAATTTTGTATTTTTAGTAGAGACAGGGTTTCTCCATGTTGGTCAGGCTGGTCTCGAACTCTCGACCTCAGGTGACCTACCCACCTCAGCCTCCCAAAGTGCTGGGATTACAGGTGTGAACCACTGTCCCCGGCCCAATACGTATTTTAAAATGAACATCGTATTACAGAATACCACAGACAGAAAAGCACACGATGAATTTTCATGATGTGACTCCATGTACCCAGCAGGATGTTCCCAGCTCCCAGGATCACCCAGTGTGGCCCACCTCTGTGACCATCCCTTCTCCAACACCAGACTCCCCAAGCCCTGCTTGGGGTCAGCGCTGTGCGGTGACCCGCTGTCTGCACAGAAGCTGGTTCTGGCTCTCTCATTGATGCGTGTCTGGTGTTTCCGGTCTGGGCTGTTTCCCCAGCGCTGCCCGAGTGTCTCGGTGCCCATGGGTGTGTGCCCTACCTGTTCCTACGGGGAGCAGGATTGCTGGGCCTCAGGCGTGTGTGCACGGGGTTGGCCTGACACTGAGTGGCTTCAAGCTGTCATCTGAAGCGTTCTTTTTCCTCCTCAGTCCTCCTGGCAGGAGTTGGTGCTTCTTGCTGCGTTCCTTGTGAGGATTCACTGGGACGCCTTTAAAGTCCCGTGAGGGCCCAGGAGGCTCTGAACAAGCTCCGGGGTGTGCGTGGGGTGGGCGGAGGGGGTTTCTGGTTTCCAGTTTGGGAAGCGCCTTCCCCTAGCGTAAGCTGCACAGGGAGTCGGTGTTGGCCCCAAGGAGTCAGAGGACTCCAGTGGGAGGGGAGGGCGGAGTGGAGTCAGGCCCAGCCACGGCCCGGCCGCCTGCCCTCTGGGTCACAGGAGGCCTTTCTGCAACAGGGTCCATGAATGCCGGCACCGTGAGCACACGCGACAGGCGCCCTGGTGCATTTAAGTTATAAATGAGCCCATCATCATCACAGAGCACGAACCTCACATGGGCAAGGGCTTCCTCTGAGGCCTGCTAGGGAAGCGCTGCGTGCCCTGCAGGGAGAAGTCACTTTCGCAGCCATTTAAAGCCCTGTAGGATGTGCGAGGCAGGGCAGTGGCTTTGTGCTCCAGTGATGAAAAGCAGACACTGAATTGGCCCCAGCTGCCCTGCCCAGGGGGTCTAGGGAGGGTGGGGTAGGTCTCAGGCCACAGCCCTGGGGCTTCCAGCCTGCCTTCTGTGTCCACAGTCTGTACACCCAGCAAGCAGTGGAGGCCATCGCAGAGGAGGCCTGGCCTGGGCCTCCACCTCCAGGAATGGCCTGCACACCAGCGCCGGCATCGGGCACGAGAGGGCCTCCCTAAGTCAATCTCGAGAGGTCTGCATGCTCCCTGAGACCCCCCGGGGGTGCCGGGACGCTTCCTGGGGCTGTCAGGAGGGTGTGGCCGGGCTGCAGGCTGGTTACACGGTGTTACACTGCCCTCTCCTGGGCGGCTGCCTGACTCTGCTCCCTGTGTGCGGGCTGGAAAGATTGTTAAACCCTGCAGGCTTTTTGGAGTGAGGGAAAGAAGGCGGCACACACCTGGCCCTGGCCCGCACTGGGTGGCAGGTGCTGGAAGGAGGTGCTCCCAACCCCGAGCCCTGCAGGCACCTTTGAACTTTGGTTCCACCTTCTCTTTTCCTCAGTTTTTCAGCTTCCCCAAAGCCAGTGGAGTTTTATTTTTACTTCCTGTTTCTTTGTGTCATGCTTCAGGAGTCAGCTCCCAAAAAGCACACCCCAGTCACTAGATTCTGCGCTCAAAAGACCGTGGCTGAGGACCTGCAGGATCTGTTTCCCCCGAGTCAGAGAGGATCTGTTTGGCACAAATGTTTTCTTCTGTGATGTCGCTGTTGCTCAAGCTTCATTCTGTGAAACTGTTTCCGAGTTTAGCAGACGGCTCCACATCACGGGTGACCCGCGCAGGCAGTGCCATGCTCTGTCCACGCTCTGACACCTGGGAGGGCCGTTACTGCCTTTCAGAGCGTTTTCTGTTCTTGCCTTATTCTTCCAAGTGAATTTAGACAGTCTCACAGATTGGGACAGGGCACTTTTAAACATCCCTTATGTTTTAGATGTCTTTACCTTCAGTCTTATTAAAAATCTCCAACACAGGCCGGTCGCAGTGGCTCACACCTGTAGTCCCAGCACATTAGGAGGCCAAGGTGGAAGGATCACTTGAGCTCAGGAGTTCGAGACCAGCCTGGGCAACATAGCAAATCCCCATCTCTACCTAAAATAATTTTTAAAAGACCAATTCCAAGCCCTCCATAAACCTCTTTATCTTTCTCACAGAACGATGCCAACGGGACTGCGAAGCCGCCTTTTCTCAGGTAGGTGTGGCTTCCTGCGTGAGCCTCAGCATGTGACATTGCTCTTCCCCACGGTGTCCCCAGAAGGGCCTTCAGTGCCCTGCCCAGGAGGCCCAGCCTGAGAAAGGCCTCGGCCTGTGGAGCCATGGGGGATTGCGGCCCCCTGCTCCCTTTACCACCTGCTTTAGACCACCCTGGGAGCAGGGCCTGCCACCCCAGAGCGGCCCCCATATCACACGCAATGCAGGACTACAGAGGTGTGGGTGCCCATGTCCAGAACGTTTAAAACCTGGGATCGTTCTGCAGCGGGTGGTACGGTGTAGGACTCATCACTGAACAAAACTTCCACTCAGAAATCGCTGCTGGGACCTGTACAAGCTGGTGAAGTGGTCAGCCGCAGTCTCACAGGGCAAGAATGGGTTATTAGCGCTGTTAAAATCCAGTTTCCCTCATGGAGTGGAAGTTCTGAAAGGTTTTTCTTATCCCCTGCAGCGGAGAAAACCCCTTTGCCACTGTGAAACTCCGCCCAACCGTGACGAACGATCGCTCGGCACCCATCATTCGATGAGAAGACGGCCAAGGACTCTCCCGGGCCTCTCCGGTTCTCCCTCGCGGAATGATGGGCACGTCCTAACTCTAATGTCGCCTGCCTAAGCAAAGCATGCTTCTCTGTTTCACGTAGTTGGGTTGACACGTTTCTGCCTTTAAGATAAATGAGTAATAGTCTAATGACCAACTCAGTCATTTAAAATATTTTCTTCCTATTCTGTTCAAGAAACAGTAAAACTTGGTTTCAATCTGTACTGTATCTTTTTAAATGAATTTTTTTTCCTTAACAGTCAGAATAAGGGATAGTCTATGCTTTCATGACTGGCTTTCTGCACCTGATGTCAATGAGACCCATTTTATTTTATAAAGCACGTGCTCTTAGTAGCATTATGTCTAAAGAAAATATCACGGAAGTTTGCATCTTAGCATGCAAATCATAATTTTAAGCAATATAAATTATGAAAATACTATATGAATGTAACTTTTTAACTTAAAATGTTTAATCAAAGTGTAGAGAGCTTCCAGAGATGGAGAAACCCCTGCCCTCCGTCCGACTGCACCAGAGCTGTAAGTGCTAAGACGCTTTGCCTGCCCTTATCACAGCCACATGTAGCACTTGACGAAATCCCTTCCGAGAGCTCCTTTTCTTGGTAGTTAGGAGTCACTGACTGGATCATCCAGGACACAGGCCTGGGCGTCAGAGTCACAGCTCCTTGTGTTCTCACTCTGCTAGCTGGCCAAAGCTGCATCCATTACCAATACACTCAAACTTCTCGGGGTCCTGATTTCTCCGTGTTTGAATCGGGTACAGACTCTCGAGGATACGTGTAAAGCCAGGATGACCTCTGGTGCCTGGAGAGGGCGGGTTTTTCAGCCTAGCAGCCATGATGCCCTCAGAACCTGGCCCTGTGGTACGGATGTGAGGACTGCACACTGGCTGCCCTAAGGCCGGGGCTGGAATTCACCTCTGACTGCCAAAGATCTGGATCCAATTCCCAGCCCGGCCCAGGTATGGGGGAATCCCAGCATTCTGAGAGACTGAGGCAGGCACGTCACCTGAGGTCAGGAGTCTCTACTAAAAATACAAAAATTAGACAGGCGTGGTGGTGCGTGCCTGTGATCCCAGCCACTCGGGAGCCTGAGGCAGGAGAATCGCTTGAACCCGGGAGGCAGAGGTTGCAGTGAGCCAGATCATGCCGCTGCCCTGCAGCCCAGGTGACAGATTTCCAGCCCAGCCGCTCTGTGTGTTGTGGGGTGCTGGGGCTGTGGCTTATCACCTCTCCTTTGGCCTTGCCTTAAGTGTACTACTTTCCTGTGAGGCTGAGACTGGGAGAGGTTACATGCAGGTAAGCCAGTGGACGTGGGCGATGCTTCAGGCTCCTTCCAGCCAGGTCCAGCAGTGTCACCATCTGCTTCTGCTTCTGCTGGGAGGACAAACCAGACGCACGCCCCCCACCCCGCCCCGCCCCCAGGAAGGGCTGCAGGCACCATGAACTATATGTTAACGCCCCCAGTCTGTCCTACAGAAGGGCCTGCAGCCACGTGAGAATTCAGTCCACGCAAACCCCGTGGCCATGTTCCCCACTTCAGACGTCAGAGGCAGGGCTCAGCCCCATCTGGTGCCATGGGTGATACCTGGCCTTTGGCGTTCCCCCTTGGGGATGGTTCTGGTTTTGTTACGGGGTTGAAGACTAGGACCTGGGGGTCTCAGATGCAACCTGCAGGCCCCAGGTTCCACCTCCCAGACCAGAACGGGGGGATGACCTTGTCCTTGGCACCGAGGTGCCTGTTCTGTAAATGTCAAGGGATTATAATTTTAATAATAAAGAACTTGAAAGCAAGCATATTTTCTTGAGCTGTAAGCGCCTGTTGAATACAAGGTGGTCAGGCCTGGCCTGGGGAGCGCCAAGGCAGCAATGCTGGCGTCGTTCCGGGGTCTCCTGGGTGTCTGAAAGCACCGAGTAAGCAGCACCAGGTCAACAATGGTATGAATCTCATTTATTGAAAACATTATTTCTCACCTTTCTCAAATTGAAGACTGCAGAAAATAAAAGCAGTGCTTTATTGAGTTGTCATGAGCCTCGGGCGGGAGCAGCAGCGCTGCCGCTCCACACTCCGGGAGACCGCAGCTGGCGTGTGCCACATCTGTCCCACCTCGCTTTACAAAACAGTTCTGAAGCTTAATCAAATAAAACTATTGTACACAACATTTACATTAGAAAAAGAGCTGGGGTAGGAGAGCCGGGCCTGCTGCTCCTTTAAGCGAAGGTGGCTCCGCAGTTGGGGCATCTTCGCTTCCTCAAGGCAAAACAGCAGATGAACCCAAAGGGGAACAGGATGATGGCCAGGAAGATGCCCAGGAAGGTGAAGCAGTCCTCCAGCACCCCGACCCTGCGGCAGAGACAGGCAGAGAGGGTGGCACCGTTAGGACCCGGGCAGCCAGAACCCTCACCCCTCCCACCCTTGCACTCAACCAAGCAGTGGCCATGACTGACATGAGGACCTCCGGTGAGGGACAGTGACAATCCGCCTGAGAAAACAGCCCCCCACCGCCCAGCCACAGCCCACTGGCCCGGAGAGCCTCAAGAACCATCTGCATGTGCTGGTTCATAGAATGGCCAGAGCTGCTATTTAATCACTAACATTAAAAGAAAAGGGGAAAAATAAAACAGCTGAAAAGTCTTATCAGTTAACCTTGAAAGGCAAGGCTGGGTGCATGGTGGCTCCTGCCTGTAATCCCACCACTCTGGGAGGCAGAGGCGGGTGGATCACCTGAGTTCAGGAGTTCAAGACCAGCCTGGCCAACATGGTGAAACCCTGTCTCTACTAACAATACAAAAATTTGCCAGGCGTGGTGGCACGTGCCTGCAGTCCCAGCTACTTGGGAGGCTGAGACAAAGAGAATCACTTGAATCCAGGAGGCAGAGGTTGCAGTGAGCCGAGATAGAGCCACTATACTCCAGACTGGGTGACAGAGCGAGATTCCATCTCAAAAAGTAAAACCTTGAGAGGCAAGATCATTTTGGTGCCACAAGCCACACATATCTGCTCTTAGAAAAGGAGCAACCAGAGGCTGGGCACGGTGGCTCACACCTGTAATCCCAGCACTTTGGGAGGCCAAGGCAGGTGGATCACGAGGTCAGGAGATCAAGACCATCCTGGCTAACACAGTGAAACACTGTCTCTACTAAAAATACAAAAATTAGGCCAGGCGCAGTGGCTCAAGCCTGTAATCCCAGCACTTTGGGAGGCCAAGACAGGCGGATCACGAGGTCAGGAGATTGAGACCCTCCTGGCTAACACGGTGAAACCCCATCTCTACTAAAAAAAAAAAAAATACAAAAAACTAGCCGGGCGAGGTGGCGGGCGCCTGTAGTCCCAGCTACTGGGGAAGCTGAGGCAGGAGAATGACGTAAACCCAGGAGGTGGAGCTTGCAGTGAGCTGAGATCCGGCCACTGTACTCCAGCCTGGGCGACAGAGCAAGACTCCGTCTCAAAAAAAAAAAAAAAAAAAAAGAAAAGGAGCAACCAGCAAGCTTAGTGGTCCCGTCAGTGTTTGGGCTTTTGTTGGATTTCTGTTCCTTTGGTAGTGGGGGTGGGTTAATGGGAGACTGCAGTCGGCCATGTTCACACAATGTCTGAAGAAATAATGTCTTATTTCTCAAAATGTGATCTCAAAGCCTCCTCTTCAACAAAGTTCAATGTAACAGACTAAGACACCTAAAGGCCATCCCACAAATCCTGCACCAGTGAGCATAGGTTCAGTGACCTGCAATCATCGAACCCAAGTGTCAGTTTCAGAGGCCCTAAAAGTAGGAAGCCAGGAGCCGAGCGCTCAGCTCAGCTCCTTAGGCTATTTCTGGAAAGTTCTGGACACAGCTGAAATTAACCACACTAGCCAGCTCAGCACAAATGAGAAAAGCTTTGCTCCCACCAGAGAGGCAGCCCCCTGCGGGCTCCTTCTGGTCCTCCTGGGGGCCCAAACCCCTCCATCCAGCCAGTACTGAAGTAAGTGGAGAGAGAACACAACAGGGTGGGGGTGTCTGACAGGTGATGGGAGCTGGTGCTTAGTGGGGAAGGGGAGCCTACAACAAGGTGGTGTGGTCGCCCGCCTGCAACAGGGAAGCGTGACTACCTATGCCTTGCTAAGGGAAGAAAACTTGGCCACCTGGGGAACCCTACTCCCATCCCAGCACCCTGCATGTTTCCAAGCTGCTTTCTGGGAGTTTGGACTCATGAGGGCCACTGCCTCCACCACTGCTAGGCAAGGCAGGCTGGGGAGCCCAAACCCCACCCACAGAACCTATTCCCTGCTTCTCCCGGGATTATGGAAAATAAACCAGAATATTCTGAAGTTGGGCTTTCCACTGCTGAAAGAAAAAGTTGCCAGGTACGGTGGTTCACGCCTGTCATCCCAACACTTTGGGAGGCCGAGACAGGCAGATCACCTGAGGTCAGAGGTTCGAGACCAGCCTGGTCAACATGGTGAAACCACGTTTCTACTAAAAATACAAAAATTAGCCAGGCATAGTGGCGGGCACCTGTAATCCCAGCTACTTGGGAGGGTGAGACAGAACTGCTTGAACCCAGGAGGTGGAGGTTGCAGTGAGCCGAGATCGCACCATTGCACTCCAGCCTTTGCAACAAGAGCAAAACTCTGTCTCAAAAAAAAAAAAAAAAAAAAAGAAAAAGAAAAACACTTCATGCCCACCTGCCTCCCTCCAGCCTCCTCAGGGAGGTCCCTTCAGCCATCTCCAACGGAGCTGGACACGGTGGCTCACACCTGCAACTGCAGCACTTTGGGAGGCTGAGGCGGATCACTTAAAGCCAGCAGTTCAAAACCAGCCTGGGCAACAAAGTAAAACCCCCCTGTAACACCTCTACAACAATTTAAAAGTAGCCAGACACGGTGGTACACATTTGGAAAAGGGGGACCATTCAGCCGGTTTGGGGAAACTTTTCTCCTAGAGTCCCTGTGTCCATTCGTTCTCAAAAGGCTCTGAGCAGTCCTGCGGCCCTCTTGTACCCAGTGTTTCCCAGACTCACACAGCGCCACCTGTCTGTGTGGAGGGGCGGAGCTGGGCTGCAGAGCACACCGTGAAGCTCCAAGGCAAAGCCAAGCCAAAGACCGGAGCCTGTCAGCAAAGTTTCTACTTCTTGCGTGGACTTTTACAAAAGTGTCCCCTGTCTAAGCACCACAAGGTCGTCAGGCCACCACACTTGTTCAGCCTTGCCCAGGGCTGCCCCTGCCAGTCCAGACTGGGCAGGACACCTCCGCCCAGCCCTGCCGAGTGCAGCTTGCCCTGCCCGGCTCTAGGACCTTCTCCCCGGGGTGTCGGGTGGGCAGAAGCCCCAGCTGCCACAGCTCCCAAGACCACATAGTCGAGGTAGGGGAGCCCCGGGAAGGCCGAGCACCAGCTGTGTCCCCACAGATGGCCATGACAGGCTCCGGGGGAGCTGGAGGGAGCATCTGGGCTTCCTTTCCTGTTTCCTCCACGGCATCTACGGTCAAATCCCAGGAAACACACTGGCTGTATATTCTGGTTAGAAAATGTCCCATGAAAAAGCAGACAGGGAGGGTGAACCAGCTGAGAAATCCTTCCAGGGAAGAAGCCTGCCCCCTGGAGTGGTCCCCAGTGCCACCAGGCCCCCCTCAGCCGGCCCAATCAGTGACCATCTGAGCACCTCGCCTCAGGACCAAAGCTGCTGAGAGGCAGGGCTGCGGGCAGAGCCGACTGCCTGTTCAAAGGCCCAGAGGTGCCTGGGAGGAGGCTGGGCAAAGGGGTGTGGGTGGGGAGCCTGGCTGGAGCCCGCCCATGGGGCACAGCAGAGACATCCAGGTGCAATGGTGCAATGGGCGGGGGTGGGGCTTCAGTGCTGCCTGGTGGCCCCGCCCACACCAGCTTCCCACCTGCAGCTGCTGCTCTCACCAAGTCCAAGGGCAGGAGCGCCCTCCTGCTTCCTAATTCTCCATCCAGACCCCAAAACCCACCTACTCCGTCAGAGCTGAGAAGTGCAGGAAGGTTGCTCACTCACGTTGGATTCCCACTGCCACGGGCCAGGGCGCTGGCCCACCTGAGCGCCAGGATTTCCAGCAGCGCCAGCCCAGCCCACCCAGGCCGCGGCGCCTCGCTTCTCAGCACCTCGATTCCCAGCCCCGGGGCTGCAAGCAGCGCCATGGGCCAAACCAAACGCACTGACCCCACGGCCTCCCAGGCACAGGGAAACACCCTCCTCCTTCCAACCCACGGAGCTTCCGTCCAGACCCATCCTGTCAGCCAGAGCACAGGGCTGGCCCGTTTGTGCCACCCTGGGCTGAGCCCCTCAGTCCGGGGACCCACTCTGGCACCTCCTAGGGCAGCCTCCCCATCCCTGGTCCATTCAATCCCACCCGCCTGCCCGCCTCCACGCCACTTAAAGACAGGGCAGGAGGGCCAAGGCCCCTGGGTCTCTGGGGAGAGCGAGCCTGTTTCCCTGCAGTACCGCCCGGGAACTGGGCAGATCCAGCCGCCCCAGGAGGCTCAGGCCTCCGCCAGCAACAGGAGGCAGTGATCCAGACCCGAGAACCCTGAACGGGCTTCGAAGACCCGAGGGCTGGCCAGGAGAATTCGGCCCTCACCTCTGGCTCTGGGGTCAGCTGGAGGGTGGGCAGCATACCCTACCCCCCAGGATTCCACAGCCGCACCCACAACTTCAAACACCAAGAGGCGCTGAAGGCAGAACTCGCTGTCACTTGACAGCAAACTCACCTGGCAGCAACATGTGACCTGAACTGGTGTGTGGCTATTTATAGTCGTAATTTATCCTAGTTTATCTGAATATTCATGTCTTGCTGCAGAAATATTAACGTTTTAACTGCAGTACTGCCCTAGACCTCAAAAGGCGTGTTGGCATCATGTGCTTTTTAAAACCCCAAATCTTCTAAACTGAGAAACACGATCCAACTTCTAGGCCAAGACTCCCCAAGCTGCAGGGCCAGCACTGGAGGGGAGAAGGGGAACCCTCGCACCGGAACAGCTGCCGTCCCCGCCAGCCTGTCCGTCCCCACGGCCTCCAGTTCTCCCTTCCAAACCCAGAAGAGCCCACCTGGGTTGGTGGGGTGGGTTTCAACCTTCTCAACCGCTCGGGTCCTGACCGGCTCCCTCTAGCTGCCCCTCCCCCACTCTTGCGCAATAGGCCACGCGGCCAGGGAGGCATCATGGCCACTGGCGAAATTAGGGAACTGACTAATTCCAAGAGCACTCCCTTAAGGCGACTCCAGCCCTGCAGTGAAAGTGGCCAGTCATGCCACTGTCATCCACCCGGAGCTGGGCCCTGGGACAGTGGAGGCCACAGGGCTCCCGCCTCACCAGGGACAGAAGGGGCTGGCAGCAGGGCTCTGAGCTGCCCAGGGAAAGGGCCATCCTCACCCTTCCTGTATCCCCACAGGCACTTGACAGGAGCCTGAAGCCCAGGGTGTGTCCAGGGCCTCCCAGCAGGGAAGGGCGTGGCTGGGATCTGAACCCGGATGGGCTCCCCAGTCACAAGCACCCATCCTGCAGGCCCGTTCTCCCTCCAAGGCAGCCCCCAAAGGCAGTCAGTGTCACAGGGGGCTGCCCCAGGGCACCCAGCTGCCCTCTGTGCATACACAGAGGCCTCGAGGCACCATCCACGCCCAGCAACAACCCCAGACCACCACACCTCGCTGGAAGGCCGAGCTCGCCAGGAAAAGGGGAGACACAGGGCTTCCTCAGAGGGCTGCGGGCCTGAAGCCACGCTCAGCGCAGGACGAGGTGGCCCCAAAGCAGCTCCAGCCAGCTTCTGGCTGTCCCAGGATATCCACTCCCCCCACAGGGGTGGGGGAGCTGCCTCACTTAGGGACAGTTCACCAGGACCTCCCAGGGCCATTCCCAGCAAACCCAAGGGCCAGGGCCAGTCCCAGCCTCTCCTGTGGAAGAAAGGCCTGAGACTCTGCCTGCCACCACACCCACCCTAGCGGTGCCACTTGGCCCGCAGCTGGGGGCAAAGCCCAAGGTTAGAAACTCAGGAGGCCACTGAGGCAGCACTCGGACCCTGAGGTCCACAACCCTGCCCAGCAAGCAGCCTAGGCCCAAGCTCCAGCCCATCCGCTGCCCCCACACCTCAGGCCAAGACTGTCAGGACAGGGACAGCCCATAGGCCATGCATATGGGCAGGGCCGTCCCAGCTAACTCAGCTACTTCCTCAACCAGGGCAGCGCTGGCTTCCAGGTCACAGGCGGTAGGAGGGACCAGCCCCTCCACCACCATCATCTGGAAGCCCAAGGATATCACAGGCTCCTTCCCCTCCAGCCCTTCCCAGGCTCCACAGTCACCCCCCGTGCCCTCCACAGCCCACCTCTGCCCCTCAAGGGCCGTGGCAACCTCCATGCTGGCTACTGAGCCGCACCCTGGACCTCTGAGCAACATCCGCCCTCCACAGCTGTTCCTTTCACCGTCCCTAGGAAAGGTGAAATCCTTTTCAGGACTTCCTCTCTGGTCACCCCCAAAACTAAGTACCCAATGACAGCCCAGCCATACTCATAGGGGACTGGTGCGGGCCAGGCCCTGTGTTGCCAGCGCCTTCCCCACTCCTGCGTTCCTGGTTTTCAGGGCACAGGCTCTGCTCCAGCCCAGCGCAGCCACCTCATCCTGCACCTAGGTATAACCACACCCTAGCAGAGAAAGACTGGCCTCCCTGGGCAGAGAGGCCCAGGCCTTGGGCAGGGCAGGGCAGGGCAGGCGTGAAGCAGGAGGGCAGGAGGAACAGGGGCATATCCACCGCTGGGCTGCGGAAATGCTTCCTCATAAACGGCTAAAAAGGGCAGACGGAGTCAGGAAGCTTCAGCAAAGGCCTGACCAGGGCAGCAGAGCCACAAGGGACATAGGCTTCTCTGGCCAAGCCTCACTCAGAAGGACTAACAGACGTGTGACTTGGACAAATTCCTGCCATGCCACCAGGCAGGGAGGGGGACAGAGCCCGGTGGGCTGGACCTGGGGCAGGAGGAAGTGTGGTCACATGAGCGGTATCCTGTCTCCCAGCCCCAAGACGGCAGGCGGCGGCCAGACGACCAGACGTGTGTGTCTCCACTCTCCTCGTAGAAAGGAGTGGCCCAGGGACCACACACCCCCTCCCGACGCCAGCAGCAGAGCACTCAGCCCCCTGCTCGCCCTCTGGCTGCTGCAGGGCACAGGGGCCCATCCCATGCCCAATGCTGCTGCAGAGGCCAAGCCTCGGGGAGCGGGGGCCACTCTCCAGCATCCAGGGCACCACAGGCAGAGTGCAGGGACTTGTGTGCTGGGAGGGCCTGGCTGCAACCCAAGGGGTCGCCGGAGGATCAAAGAGTGCTCTGGTCCCAACTTAAAGGACTAAGGATCCCCCAACCTTGTCCAGAGAGGACCCAGCCTCCACCCTGCCTGGTGCAGCTGCCCAAGGGCAGAGAGCACAGTGATCAAGTAACTGAGGACCCCACTCCTGTAGCCTCTGGGGGCCAAGCCCAAGATCCTCCACAGCAGAGCAGAGCACAGCCTGACCCCACTCCAGGTTCTGCATAGCTGGGGGGCACCGCCGGGTCAGCGGAAGCCACGGGCCTCCACAGGGACACAGCTCCCACCTAGGCAAGGGGAAGTGGCAGGGCCAGCACCCCCATACCGACAGCAACTGCGCCGCCACCTGGGCGCCCCCCCAGCCCTGGGATATCTGGGCCATCCCTTGCTGCCGCTGGTCTCCCACATCTCCAAGTTCAGGGGGTTGGGCAGAGAAGAGCTAAGAGCTTCAGAGACACCTCACCAGGCACCCCCATGTCCCAGACGGGGAAACAGGCCCCGCTGTTCCTGGCAGGACCAGGACTGTCCAGCTCCTCCGGCAGGCTGGACACTGGGATGGCAAGGCATGGACAATGACACGCAGGCAGACCCTCTGCTCCTCCATGTTCTGAGTCCCCTCCATGTGCCTTCACACCCACACAGCTCTGCCAGCCCCCTCAACCCGGTGCAGCTCCCAGAGAAAACTATGTCCCGGAGGCAGCCGGCGCCCCGCCCTGCCCTCCCCTCCACCTTCACTCCAAAGGCCAATGTTTCTGCTGGGTGGCGACCAACTGTGTCAAACTGACGTCCCAGTTAGGGTTTGTCACGGGGTCCCTATGCAGGCAAGCGGCCACAACCTGCCCCTGAGGTCCCAGCCTCTTGTCCCCACCTCTGGGATGCCCTCCCTCTTCCCAGGAAGTTGCCTGCTAAGGCTCTGAAATCATTCACTTCCCCATGACTCTGCTCTAGGCCTTACACACACACTTTTGAAATCAAGTATAAGTCCAAACCAGGGTTTCTTAATTCCATCTCAGCGGCTTCAACTTCCTCCTCCCAGATACAGCTGAAAACCCTGTCCCCGCCAACTCTGCCCCTACTTTCTAGGCAATCTGAACACCCCCAGCTGCCAAGGATTTATATTTAATTAATCCTTATTTAAATTTGAATCCTCAAAACCTCCACAAAACAATCCTCTAGCTGCACCTCAGGGTCCTATGAAAACCAGAAAGCCTGTGCAGGTCCAATGCGAGGATATGAAAAAAATCACTCCTGCCTCAAAGAACCACGGGGCTTCCATCCTGGTCCAGCTCATGAAAGGGCGTTTCAAGCCAGCTTTGGCTAAAGCAGCTCTTACAGCCGTCGCTTCTCCCAGTGAGGTCTCTCCTGCTGGTGCACTTACTTCCAAATACCCCTTCCGGGAAAACGAAACCTTCCACCACCTTCGATGATCGACTGCAGAGTAAACTTAAGGAAATTGAAGGAAAATGCAGACACCTGATTCCTTGCAAGTCCCAGAACAAAGACGAAGAGACCACGAGTCCCGTTGTTACCTTTTCTACATCCCAATCACTTGGGGTGCAATACCCCAAAATCTAGGAAAAGGAATCCACCCTTTTGCCCCCACAAAATGTGTTCAGAGCCAGTGGTGAGTGGACCCACGCTCTCCCACACCGCATACGGGCAGCCTGTCTGTTCCTCCCATAAAGGGCTCTGATCAAGATCCAAGTCAAGCCGGACCCACTCCCACAAGCAGAGCTGACTTTGTGAAGTCCTGGGGGGTAGGGCGGGCGTCCTCAGCGTTTCCAGGGCCAGTCCCCAGGCTGCAGACCCACTCACCTGCAGACGGGACAGCCTCCCACGACCACGATAGAGTTGGCAGGGTACCGGGTGACGGTCCGGCTGTGGATGTTGTAGACCCTGGGATGGTGGGTGGGTATCCCTGTGGGGGGGAAGACAAGTCATTAGGGTGCAGGGAGGAGAAATCGGACCGCGATGGGGACTACTCATCCCGTACCCCCACCTCCACCCCGCTAAAAAAGCCCCCGGTCTTTTCCACCCTCGGGACGGCCACCGCGGGCCTGATTCGGCGCTAATCTGCCAACAGCGAGCGCCTCGTGACACAAAGTTCATCTGGGGCAGGAATCCGGCCCCGCCGGGTACGATGGGCCCGAGGACGAGAGCCCCGGGGAGGAGGCTAGCCCTCGGCGACCCGGGGTCCCGAAGCCGGCCCGGGGACCTCCAGCTCCAGGAAGGACCCCCGGACGGGCCCCGCCGGCCTCCGGACCCGCGTCCCCCGCACGGGCTTGCCCCCTCGGAAGCCGCTGGCGGGGAAAGTTGGTTCCGGGCCCACCTGTGACGAGGTAGGGGTAGGGCGGCGGCGGGGGCGCGGCGGGGATGGCGCCGTAGCCGTGAGGGCCGCACGCGTAGTCGCCCTGGCCGGCCTCCAGGTTGTAGGCGGGCGGCCGCTCCTGCAGCAGGGGCTTATGGTCCATGGCGGCCCGGCCGCGCCCGCCGCTCCGGCCCGGCTCGGCTCGGTCGGCCCCGGCGGGGGACGCGGCGGCGGCGGCGGGGACGCGGCAGTCCGGGTGGCTCGGGTCCCTCTGAGGCAGACGCGGGGCGGGGCGGGGCGGGCGCGCGCCGCGGGCTTCCCCCGCCCTCCCCGACTCAGTCACAAGACCGGGGTCACGTGGGCGACGGGAGGCCGGGCGCGAGGGCGGGGCCGGCGGGGCGTCTTAAAGGGGCCGCGCCCTCCCGAAGCCGCCCTGCCAGCTGCGCCCTGCGCTCCGCCCCGCCCCCCCGCCGCGGCTCTCAGATCTCCCATGGAGGGGAGATTTCCCCTCCCCCACCACGACCCAGAGAAGCCCCATAGGGTTGTGACCTTTAGGGCCCGCGGATGCACCCCCACCTCCCGCTACGCCCCCATCTCCCAAGCCAGCCGAGGTCCCCTCACCCGTGGAGGAGGGGGAGGGCGGGGCCTGAGAAGGGGCGGGGCCGGGTGGGTCCCAGGCCGCCCCAACCCCAGCCCTCTGCCCCCGCGATCGCCAGCGCTCCCAGCAATGCAAAGGGTACACCCGGGCGTGCACCCCAGCTGCGGCCTGTGCGGTGCTCAGCTGCGGCGCATTCCCTCCCTTTGCCTTTTTTTGGACAATTAGGTGTTACAGGGGTCGTGGCCAGTGCTTACAAATAACTCCCCCGTTTGGGGACAAAACCATAAATACTGGGCACCTGCCGCGTCTCCTCAGTTTCCGTAATCCTCAGGCAGCCCTGCCAGGTGTTCTGCTTACCCCCTGGAGGACAACACGGGACCGGGATCAGAAGGGGGAGGGGTTTGGCCGTGGCAGGTGCGGGTCAGAGCCCGTATCTAAACCTGGGTGTTTTCTGGCCTCGGGGACCGCGTCGGGCGCCCTCGCTGAAACATTTCCTCATACAGGGTTTCACGGGTTTGCCAGAACAACTTTAAAACGAACGATTGGAACGTTTAGGATTCCTTGCGTCCTTTTCAGGGGCACCTGTAGCTGTTACTGTATTCTGTCTCCAGTTTTCTCACCTGCATTTTGATCTCACCTGCACTGTAGCTCTGGGACGACTACAGCTCTTCTCGAACCACGCCTTTTTAATTTTTAAAAAATTTTTTGTAGGGAGGGCCGGGGGTGGGGGTTCTCTTGCTCTGTCACCAGGCTGCGTGAAGTGACACAATCATTGCTCAATGCAGCCTTGACCTCCTGGGCTCAAGTCATCATCCCACCTCAGCCTCCTCAGTAGCTGGGACCACAGGCACACGCCACCATGCCCAGCTAAGTTTTAAAAATTTTTATATAGGATCTTGCTATGTTGCCCAGGCCAGTCTCAAACTCCTGACCTCAAGCAATCCTTTTGCCTTGGCCCCCCAAAGTGCTGGGATTACAGGTGTGAGCCCCTGCACCTGGCCTTTTTATTTTTTAATAAGGAATCATCATATATATATATATATTTTTTTTTTTTTGAAACAGAGTCTCACTCTATGGCCCAGGCTGGAGTGCAGTGATGCAACCCTAGCTCACTACAGCGTCGACATCCTGGGCTCAAGTGATCCTCCCACCTCAGCCTCCTAAGTAGCTGGGGACTACAGGTGCATGCCACGGTGCCCGGCTAATTTTTTTATATTTTGTAGAGATGGGGTGTTGCTATGTTTCCCAGGCTGGTCTCAAACTCCTGGGTTCAAGTGATCCTCCCGCCTCAACCTCCCAAGGTGCTGGGATTATAGGCATGAGCCACCATGCCCACCTGACCATATTTCTTTATCACAAGTCCAGCTCTTCGAAGCCCATTCCCATTTTGTATGTCCTGTCCTAGTCATCATCCCCACAATCCTCGAAAGAGGAACTGAGAGGTGGTCCAGGTACACTAGAAGACTGAGGAGTGGCCCCTGGCACTAACGAACAGCCAGATCAAGAGTGGAGACTGGGCTGGGTGTGGTGGCTGACGCCTGTAATCTCAGCACTTTGGGAGACTGAGGTGGATGGATCACTTGAGGTCAGGAGTTCGAGACCAGCTGGCCAACATGGTGAAACCCTGTCTCTACTAAAAATACAAAAGTTGACTGGGCATGGTGGGTGGGGGGCGGGTACCTGTAATCCCTCGGGAAGCTGAGGCATAAGGATCACTTGAACCTGGGAGACGGAAGTTACAGTGAGCCGAGATCGTGCCATTGCACTCCAGCCTGGGCGACAGTGAGGCTCCATCTCAAAAATAAAAAAAAAGAGTAGAGACTGGCCAGGAGTGGCCAAGGGCTTTGGAGCCAGTAGAGGCCCTGGTAGGCAGTGAGGAGGCCATTGTTCTTGGGGGCAGCTGTCCGGGCATGATAGGGTGACAGCCCCTGGCCAGAGAATACTGAGGTGCAACCTCGTGCCTCATCAACCATGAAGAGATGTGGCTCAGGTCAACCCTCCTAACACCTGGTCAACAAGGACCACCTGGATTCTCCTCCCAGCCTTGCAAACTGCTGAAGAGTAGCAGCTGCAGGCCTGGTGATCTCCTTTCCTATCAGATCAACAAAAGCTGGCACATTTTCCTTCAATTTCATGGCTAATTGTCCCTTCACTTCTCTGCATTTCCTGATAAACCCCACAAAATCCACAGCCGCTGGTCCCCTTCTCTTCCAGTAATTGTTTTTGCCCCAGCAATGCCCCTGGTTTGGAACTCCAAGTCTGTGAACACCGGAGTGTCGTTTTGGGATGTCCCAGCATGGCTTTGACCAGTGCTGCCCTCAGACACAAAGCAGTTCCTGCCCCTTCAAACGTGCAGCATGCAGAAGATGGAACTGCTATCCCAGGCTCTGTGTGCAAGCCCTGGGGGACCAAAGAGGATGATGACAGGGACACAAGTAGCAGTCAGATAGGGAGGCAGACAGTAACTGTGGTGAAGGGAGCTTTGTATGGCGAGAGGGGTAGAGGTGCCACACACTGGCTGGTGATGAGCCTGAGTGCCTGGAGAGTTCCAGGACCACAGCCTGGCTGGGAAGGCCAGTAGCGAATCAGCCCCAGGGACCAGTGGCAGAGCATTCCAGGCAGAGTGAACTGTGGTCCCAGAGAGTACACAGTGGCCCATTATATGCCAGGGCTTGTCACTGGGTGTGGCCAGAGCCCTGGAAGAGTCTCTAGAAGGTAGAGGTAGGGCTGGGCATTGGCATTGGGATAGCATCCTGTAAGAGCTTATTGGGGAACTGCGTAGAGTTTGAACAGGGGAGTGTGAGCATCAGATTTCAGTATTAGAAAAATGTCTTTGAAGGGAGGGGCACAGTAGCTCATATCTGTCATCCCAGCATTTTTGGAGGCCAAGGTGGGAGGATCGCTAGAGGCCAGGAGTCCGAGACCAGCCTGAGCATCGTAGCGAGACCCCCGCCCCCCCGCCCATCTCTACGGAAAATTTAAAAATTAACTGGATGTGGTGGTGCATGCCTCCAGTCCCAGCTACCCAAGAGGCTGAAGTGGGAGGATCACTTGAGCCCAGGAGTTTGAGGCTGCAGTGAGTCATGATCACACCACTGCCGACAGAATAAAGTGAGGCCACCAATCATCTTGGCTGCTATGTGATGACAAATTCGCATGTGCCAGGCTCTGTACACAGCTCTTTATATGGCTGGCATCTCTGCTCATCTGCAGGACCATCCCATGAAAGTGGCCATTCCTTTCCCCCAGGTGCTTGATGAGGAAACTGAGAACTGGACACAGTGGCTCATGCCTGTAATCTCAGCACTTTGGGAGGCCGAGGCGGGCGGATCACTTGAGGCCAGGAGTTCAAGACCAGCCTGGCCAACATGGCGAAACCCCATCTCTACTAAAAATACAAAAATCAGCCGGTGTGGTGGCTCACACCTGTAATCCCAGCTACTCAGGAGGCTGAGGCACGAGATCGCTTGAACCTGGGAGACAGAGGTTGCAGTGAACCAAGATCACGCCACTGCACTCCTGACTGGGTGACAGCAAGACCCTGTCTCAAAAACAAAAAACGGGTGGCTCACGCCTGTCTTCTCAGCACTTTGGGAGGCTGAGGTGGGCTGATCACCTGAGGTCGGGAATTTGAGACCAGCCTGACCAACATGGAGAAATCCCGTCTCTACTAAAAATACAAGATTAGCTGGGTGTGGTGGTGCATGCCTATAATGCCAGCTACTCAGGAGGCTGAGGCAGGAGAATCACTTGAACCTGGGAGGCGGAGGTTGTGGTGAGCCGAAATCGTGCCACTGCACTCCAGCCTGGGCAACAAGAGCAAAACTGTGTCTCAGGAAAAAAAAAAAAAAAGGGCCAGGTGGGGTGGCTCACACCTATAATCACAGCACTTTGGGAGGTTGAGCGGGGGGGATCACTTAAGTCAGGAGTTTGAGACCAGCCCAGCCAACATGGTGAAACCCGGTCTATACTGAAAATACAAAATCGGCCAGGTGCGGTGGCTCACACCTGTAATCCCAGCACTTTGGGAGGCCAAGGCGGGTGGATCACAAGATCAAGAGATTGAGACCATCCTGGCCAATATGGTGAAACCCTGTCTCTACTAAAAATACAAAAATTATGGTGGTACACGCCTGTAGTCCCAGTTACTTGGGAGGCTGAGGCACAAGAATCGCTTAAACCCAGGAGACGGAGGTTGCAGTGAGCCAAGATTGTGCCATTGCACTCCAGCCTGGTGACAGAGCGAAACCCTGTCTCAAAAAGGAAACTGATGCACAGAGAGCTTCCATACGTTTCCAAGGCCTCCCAACCAGTAGAAGTAGGTCTTCAAACAACAGATGTACCACACTTAATCCTAGGATCACCCCAGACTGCCTCTATGCCAAGCACACAAGAGAAGCATGCCACCTTTTCCTGGGTGTTTTGTTTTGTTTTGTTTGAGGCAGAGTTTTGCTCTTGTTGCCCAGGCTGGAGTGCAGTTGCACGATCTCGGCTCACCGCAATCTCTGCCTCCCGAGTTCAAGCGATTCTCCTGCCTCAGCCTCCCGAGTAGCTGGGATTACAGGGATGTGGCACCATGCCCAGCTAATTTTTTTGTATTTTTAGTAGAGATGGGGTTTCTCCATGTTGGTCAGGCTGGTCTTGAACTCCCAACCTCAGGTGATCCGCCTG